CACGGCGACGGAGACGCTGGCGGCGGCGGTGCCGGCGGCGGTGTTGAGCCTGACCTCCTCGACACCAGTTAAGTCTTCCGCCCCCGTGTGCAAGACTGGGGGCAACTACACCACCGATGTGACCCCGCGACTGCTGCCGTCGTCGGAGCTAAGGTCGACGGCCGCCCCTTCCCGTCGGTCGACGCCATCTCTCTCCCGCTCCCCATTTCCACAACGCGCAGGAAGAGCCGTGCGCGCGGCAGCGGTGGATACTTCTTCTTGGCCCGCTGCTGCTCGGCCGGCCGCCTTGAGTCTGGGAGGGGATTTCAGCTCTGCTGCCTCGATGAAGGTACGATGTAGCCAAAGTTTCCGTCACATGGGAACGCTTGTGTGTCTTGCATCAATGCTCTGATACCCCCGCCAGCCTTTCGGTGCCGCTTGCGTTTGTATCTCATGCTTACCATAGTGTCGGTGTTGTAGTGCCTCTTCGACATCTCCCTCCGTGATGTCCTCAGCCACGCTACTCTCGCAGAAGCGTGACGGAGTTGACCTTTCCGCCCTGTCGGCGCGCGACGTGAGTCGTCAACAACGTCAGGGAAGTAGATGTCTCGGAGTTTGTGAAACGAACATGCTGGTATAGGGTGCAAAGATACACCCGCGCGCCACCTGCTACATGGATGTTTCACGCGTGATCGGCTAGCACGGCCCGATATCCCTGTAGTGCACAACAAGCTCAACGACAAGCTCGTGACGAACGCCTGAAACGAATATTAATCTTTCCCCGTGAACACACGATCCCCCCCCACCACCCCGAACATACGTTCTCCACCGCCAACACGCTGCACGTCTTCAACAGAACCGTGCCTCAGGCGTCGACGTCGGGATTGCGAACTTTCATCCCTTCGTGGACCGGGCCGAGCCCGTTAAGGTCAGGGCCGTGGTCATCCAGGACGTGACTGAACGCCAAGTGTTCACGATGGTGGAAGAAGGCTGCGCGCTGGCGCGGGCGGCCGGCGTCGCCCTCGGCGGAAGCGGGAGCGGCGGCGGGGCGAGCTCGCCAATGCGACCGGACGGAAGCGCCATCATCATCAACAACGATAACAGCGCTCGAGGCACGCTCGTCCTGCTCCAGCTTCAGACAGGCAGGCAGGTTGTTTGCATCGATTCGTTGGGGCGGGCGGTACCGCTCTGCAATTGGGCAACGATCCGGCGCCCCCCGCAGCAGCTTGCTGCGAGGCGGAGGATGCTGAAGCGCATCGTCATGGGGAAAGAGCAAATGGCGCCCGCCGGGACCTCCTACAGCAGCACCCGCAGCGTCGCCAGCAGCGGTGTCAGGGACATGGGGAGCCACGCACCTCAGGATCTGGGCGCCGTCGCTAGCCCCGCCACGGATGTTGCCAAGCCACACCTGCTTCCCTCCGCGATGTCGACGGTCGCCAAGCTCAACGGCGGTCCTCTCGGTGGTGCAAGGCCGGCCATCATGATTGTCACGGCGACGGAGACGCTGGCGGCGGCGGTGCCGGCGGCGGTGTTGAGCCTGACCTCCTCGACACCAGTTAAGTCTTCCGCCCCCGTGTGCAAGACTGGGGGAAAGTACACCACCGATGTGACCCCGCGACTGCTGCCGTCGTCGGAGCCAATGTCGACGGCCGCCCCCTCCTGCGGAAGGTCCACCTCTCCCCGGGCACGCGGCGGGCGCCCGCCTTCCCCGTGTCGGGCGACGCCATCTCTCTCCCGCTCCCCATTTCTACAATGCTCAGGCACAGTCGTGCGCGCGGCAGCGGTGGATGCGTCTTCTTGGTCCGCTGCTGCTCGGCCGGCCGCCTCGAGTCTGGGAGGGGATTTCAGCTCT